AAGTAGGTGAGAGAGAAAGCACAAATCGTGTGTCATCAAAATACATGGCATGTTGAGAGATTGAGCTCGTGTGTGTGAGAAAATTGTGTGAGTAACAAAGTAGCTTACTCTCTTGGTAGTAAGGTAGAAAGTAAAGTGTATGGGAATGAACTGTTTTATTGATTTTACACTAAATTAACAAATAAATTTAAAGAAAAAGTTCCAAATAAGCTCGATATTTAGTATCACCAGTGTTGCGAAAGTTCGCGATATTTCACGAAGTTCTCCAAGGGAAAAGTTCGCGAGTCATAGTGATTTTTGCGAACTTTTCCATCACTGAGTATCACTATGTACTTGCCCACGTAAATTCTTGATAACTGCTTGCGAATATTGGAAATAAAAAAAAATCTCTTTTCTCTCATACTGGATTTCAACTAAACCTACCAAGGAAATAGCGCATTCTCGGAGAAAAGTTTTCATGGGAACCACTCAATTAGACAGTTAACGTTACCGTCTGTTCGCAACTATTCTAGCCATATTTTACACGCTGATTTTGAATGAATATTTCTAAAAAAAATGTTATCAAATTAAGCAATTCTTTACTCTGTGTGTGTATTCCCTCTAGCCCCCACTGGCCGGCATTGTTATTATGGAAGAACTCTCTCTACAATGTCGCATTTATGGTCATTGTAGACAGCTTTAGTCCGGGAGTTGCAGATCCAGCAACCCATTTCAGAAGTCAGAGTCACGCCCATTCCGAGGTTTCTTTCATTTACAATAAGCCCCGCATGTATGCATCACCGTTATCAAATGGATATTGGTCTTACATACACGCTTCCAGGTTCGAATATATTCTTTTCAAACCTGGCACGTATTTAGTTTGTTTTTTTTAATTGTAAAATGTATTTGGACTGGTCTCACCATGTTAATTTGATCCTCCAATCCATGGGTTCCGTAATTTTGATTTTCTCTAAGCTTTGCATCTCATTTCGTGATGCACCTTTAACGAACACAAATTTTCTTGCATTGTCATGGTCATCTGGGAGGAGGTTCGCGTGAAGTGCTTTTCCCAGGAACAGTTCGCGACCACCAACTGCCACCCGTCCAGTATTGGGCGTATCCAGCTCGCAATCTCCGACACCGGCGAGAGACCAGCAGCCGAGCACTTTTGCAAGCGGAAAACTTGCTGATTCACGGCAACCCCAAAACTCGCGACGGACACATAATCAACACGTTCCCGGGCTTATTCACCAACCGGACCGATCTCTCAATAGAACTACACGCCAAAAGTGCAGCATCCGAACTCGGAGAACCGGACTCCCGACACCGAACAATGGAATTGAATCTGCGTTGTATATTTTGGAGGTTAGATTCAAGTTCAAGCGAGCCACTCAAGGCAAACACAGGCAAAACACGATATATCACTAAATGATAACTGTATGAACACTTGCACCTAAATTTCAGCAAACAAATCAACAAATTTAAAGCCAAAATGTATTTAATTCGCTGACGAAAAATACGCAGCAAAAGAAAAACACGTCAGCTTTCAAGCGCGGCCTACTGCGATCTCAAATTAAGCAATTCTTTACTCTCAACGTAAAAGAGTGACTTGTCTGAATTTTAAAAATAGTGACTTTAGTGACTTTTTACAGACTGACTTGAAAATACTGACCTAGCCACTAAAAAGTGACCTGCTACCAGCCCTGCAGGAGTTTAGTGAGCTCTGGACAAGTGCAGTACATCTTAACAAGGACCAGCGAACTCCTAACAAGGTTGTGAAAAGTTCTAAGAAGGGATTTCAGGAGCTATAAAATATTTCAAATACATTCTGGAAGCTTCAGAAACGTTCTTAAAGCTTTGCGAACTTTCGGAAGATAGCATAAAAACTGTGGCCTTAAATAATCAGAGCATAAAAAATAGCTTCTGTTACCGTTTCCAAGATACTTCTTCTTCTAGTTCTTTCTTAACTCTCCTTATAATGCGAAGGGGGATTAAATTGACAAAAAAAGGACATTTTGTTGAAAAAACTTGCTTTTTAGTGACCGACTTAAGAAAAGTGACCATTGTTGGCGAAGAATGACCTACTGCTGACCCTTTTTTTTATCTGATATGTTTTCCGTCGATCTTGATTTCTGTGCCACCAATGCTACCGATTGAATCACAATAAACGATATCAAAATAACTAGCACTTTTTTATGCCAATTTGGTGTTGTTTAATTTCTAAAAACACGGGTATGTTTTACACACCATCTGAAAGAGCTTCGTTATCTGAGTACAACGATATTTTATCGATCCTATTCATCTTCATCTCGATTATTAAATCAAGATTAAAACATTTAATTTTTGACGCCAAATATATTAGTTGACAGTTCGCTCCCATACAAAGTTCCACCGAGGGGCGCTAAGATGGTGATTTTTGCTAATGTAATCGCACTTATTTAAAACAGTTCCAGTGCACCAAAATTGATGAAATTTTGAATTTTGGTTCCATTTGTAATACAGATTACGAATATTAATTTACCCCAATACCCCTGAGCAACCCAATTAACCACTTCATTCGAGCAGTTAAAGTGACGTTTACTACCACTCGAACTGTGAAATAAAACATTATTTTGAGATTTTTTCTTCTAGAACCACGAGAAAAGTAGCCAACATTTGTGCGTTTCATAAAAAAATAGAAATTAGTTGGTCCAGTTTTGTGGAATTGCTGGTAGAAAGTCACGCCAAAACTGCTTGACAAAGTGGTCAATTGCACAATTTTTAGGTGATAAGGATTTAATTTGATTGCAAATGCAGCAGGTTCAATTGTCGCTGGCCCTTGTCGGAATTTACGAAGAAGCAGCTCTAATCTCTAATTCGATGGTATTTCTGGTTACTTCGATTTGCTTGAAACAAATGTCTCAAGTTTGACGACGGTGAGGAAGAAAAAATTGCAATTTTCTTCACTTTCTTATGGAAACAAGCGTTCAACAATTTATGGACTAACTTAGAAAGCACCGAGATGAATGTATTGGGATTCCGAGATCTTCCCTACATGCAGGCGATCTACGAATTCCTTTGATTGTCTGATGGTTAAGTTTGATATGATCACCGCCTCCTTTCAAAAAAATTTCCCGCCTTTGTGTCCCAGTCTTATTATCCTCATGGTTCTGTGCTACTTGCTCCTGCCCAGCCAGCCTTTGGTGAACCGTCCGAGAGTAGTATCTGAAGGAGGACTAGCTCCCTACCTAGATCATTTCAATCGAAATTGTTACCGATTAACCTTGAGCCCGCCACGAATAATTGGAACCCAATACTAACTTAAATTTACTGCTGTTTAAAATGTAAATTCAAAAAATTTTGATTTTCGATTCCGCTCAGTGTCACACACGACTGAGCCTAGTAAATAAACGAACTTGTTAAAAAAAAACAACATAGGTCCGTAAAACTTCTGATTAGTCCGTAGAATTCTCTATATATCCGTAGAATATCCGAAACGTCCATAGAACTTCCCAAAAGTCTATGGAGTTTCCGAGAAGTCCATAGAATATCCGATAAGTCCCTATAACATCCGAGCAGGCCGTAGAGCTTCCGAGAAGTCCGTAATACTTCCGATATGTCCATAAAAGTTCCAAGAAGTCTGTAGAGCTTCCAAATAGACCGTAGAACTTCCTAGAAGTCTGCAGAATTTTTGAGAAGTTTGTACAATTTCCAAAAGCCCGTAGAATTTCCACGGATCTTCCGAAAAAAAAACCCTTGAACTTCCGAGAAATCCGTTTAATTTCTGTGTATTCCGTATTAGAGAGGGTCTAGTATAAGAGAGGAGCAGACTGGCTGGTCTTGAGCCAAACGAATTGTCAAAGCCGTTGCCAATCGAGCACTTAAAATGACGTTTACTACCACTCGAACCTTGAAATAAAACATTATTTTGAGATTTTTTCTTCTAGAACCTCGAGAAAAGTAGCCAACATTTGTGCGTTTTATAAAAAAAATAGAAATTATTTGGTCCAGTGTTGTGAAATCGCTGGTAGAAAGTCACGCCAAAACTGCTTGACAAAGTGGTCAATTGGCAGTGCTGCTAGAAATCACCTAGGCATAGGTTGCCAAGGCAGTTTGTTTTGAATCCGCTCCTCTCTTATACTAGACCCTCTCTAGTCCGTATACTATCTGAGATGTCCGAGGCATTTTCGAGAAGTCCGTATAACATCCAAAAAGTCCATAGAACTTCAGTTGTTTTGTTTTGTTCAATGCACGATTTTTTTCACATCGTTCATTGAGAGGGTAGGGGCAATGATTGCATTACGTAACAGTGTTAACGGAGGTCGAGGAAAATGTGAGAATTTGTGACAAGGGGTTAATTTTGGCCAATTTTCGCGTGAAGTAATTAATGGATGCAATATAAAAATATCTAGCACTATGCCAATTGCACCATTTTTAAGCAATAACGATAAAATTTGATTAGCAATGAATTCGATTCTCGCTGGCCCTTGTTCAAATTTACGTAGAATTAGCTTTTACCGCTAATTCGATGGCATTTCTCGTTACTTCGATTTGCTTAAACAAATGTCTCAAGTTCTGTTGGTGCGCCTACTGTGATGACAGTGAGCAAGAACAATTTGCAATTTTCTTCGCTTTCTTACTGAAACAAATGTTCAACAATTTATGGACTACCTTAGAAAGCACCGAGATGAATGTATGTACAAGTGCAACCACCACTCAGCCACCATTTCAGGAGACGCTGTGTGTTGGTGGCACGTCTCCTGCCTAGCTTTTCCCGGTGGAGTGAACGGGCCCACCGTGATCCGCGCGTGAAAGAGAGCGGAGTTTCGGGTGGTGTTTTTGGCCGTAAAAAGAAGTAGCGTGCCGTGTGCAGCCCGATACATAGACTACCGAGTGCACGCTACCCCATTCAATCATTCGAATTACGACGCGGTTGGTAGTCGGAGATATTTTCCCGTTTTCATTCGAGGCGTTTAGGACACAGCGATAGTGAGTAGGTTTCCGGTGGTGTTGGAATTCCAATAAGGTTTTCGCGATTCCAAATTCCGTCCAACCGATCGAATCCCATCCGACGGCGTCAAGGCTCGATCAGTCTTCAAGGATCTCTCGTCTCGATACCATCGGGTGCAGCTTTGCAGTGCAATTTCGCAACTCTTGTGTGGTGTAGCAGTCAGTTTCTTGCCCTCCAAAGAATCAATCAAACGAACCAACGCAGGTTGGAATTTGCATAAGGAGAAGAAACTTTTTTGTGCGATTAGTGATACGCTGAGAGTGAAAACTATTCTTCTGGAAGAACGGAACGGAACGGAACAAAGTAAAGTGGCTTGAGAACGAAAACAAAGTGACCATCAAAGACCCATTTCAAGGGGAGCAAATGGGGACAAGTGAAAAATAAAAGCCCGGTTCAAGGCAAAGTGGCAGAGTGTTTACGGCAGATGGAAACGAAACACTTGTGCGCTTTCTAGAAGAATCGGAATTCGGAGCAAAGATGGAAATCTTCAAACATTGTTCGATATATAGAGAGAGAGAGAGGACGAGTGTGTCCAAAAGGTGCTATTTTTGAACGGATGTGTATTAGAAAATTCATAGCCTGCTGAGTTGAGTGAGCGCGGTGCTGAGCTGGAGGTGGAGACGCACGGTGCCTCGATCGAAGCAAGCGACTGTTTGAGAGGAGCGTGTGCAGTCCATTCGTCAGGTGGCGGTGGAATTATTTTCCAACTGTTCCAAAATTATGCAACCTCGATCTCGAGATGATGGGTTCGGAAGTGGTGAGATTGTGGCGTTGGAGGTGGTGGCACCAGCGAGTCGAAGTTGGCCAGGCGTAAATTAAAAATGATGCACCGGAGGAAAGCTATTTTTAGCGCCGTTGAGTCGGGTGAGGTGTGGACTTTTTTGTTCTATATGAGACGGTGTTGAATGTGTGAGAACTAGGTGAAAATTTTGAAATTTTGAAGTGCGTGGGTCCTAAAGATATGCCACAAATGCGGGCTATTGTGTACTGAAATTGGTTGATAGAAATAGCAGTGAATCAGTGGGAAAATTTATTTAAAAATTTAAGGTAGAAGCATAGTGAAATTTGTATATTTCCAATAAATGAGTAATGTTTTAAACATGAAATAACCAACCAAGCCTCTTGGAAGTCTTATAAATTCATGTTTATTTATGAAATCACAATGTATATAAATGTTTGCGAAAAGATGCTAGATTTGGCATACATTTACTCCACTATTACACAATTTTAACGAAATATAAATAAATAATTGAAAAAGTTCGCAATATTGGGTTACAAGCTTGAATCAGCCAAATTTAACATATTCGGCAACGGTTAAAATCGTAGAAGCTGTTTGAAAGAAAGTTTCTGTTATCTTAAAAATCATTGAATTTCATCAGTTTCCCGGTTTTCAGTTCTAAATCTTGACTGCTCACGATACAGATACAGTGACAGATTAAAATAATTGGAAAATTTTAATTTTAATTCAATATACTTTTCGTATGGCATTTATCAAAACATGACATGGAAAATGCTATGTATTTTGCATGAAATATATAAAACTCAAAGCAGACAATTTCTAGCAAAGATTCAATGTAGCCTTGGGATCCTGGCAGAGTAAAAGCTGGTGACCGAGCGGATAAAAGATTTTATTAATTATTATAGATATTATCGATAGAATTTGCTAGGAAAACTCCGGCGAAGCAAAACCAGAGAAACATCATTACAGAACTCTGTATCGACTCCTGGTGAGCTAACAAGCATTGTTTTGACAGCTCAGATGCAATTAGTGAACGATAACCGCTCAATGCAACTTTACGAAGTAATTTGAACCAGGAACTCTCAGAAGTCCAGAAATGCTTTTAAGTTCAAGAGCCATCCTTAAATCTCGGAACTCAGGAATGCTGGAAACCCTACACTGAAGTTGTGTATGGTGTATAGGAGCTTCTCAAATTCTTTGAACAGACCGATACGAAGCTTATTGATAGTAGTGAAAGTTGAGCTACTGGAAGTCCTAAAATCCCAAGTGCTCCAGAAAATGCTAGAACTAATGGTTCCTTGGATAATTCTGTAAAATTTCAAATAACTCCAAACTCTCGCAATTCCAAGAACTCTCAGACTCCCGCAGCTGAAAAAAATCCATCAAGGGTCGGAAGTCCAAAAATTCCCACAACTCTTCGATCTAAAAGTTTTCTGCATTCTCAAAACACAATAAATTTTAGAAACACCCGGACAGTACCAGGAACTTTCGAAACGTTTGGAACTTCCGAAACGTTTGGAACATCAAAAACTTTGCAAACTTCGTTAACGTCAGAAGTTACGAAAAGCTCTGAAATTTTTAGCTAGAATTTTCAAGGACTCCCGGCAACTAAAAAAAAAAATCATGTCCCGAAATTCCGAAAACTGGTCGGTCCAAAAGTTTCCTGTATTTTCAAAACACCATAAACTTTAGAAACACCCGGACATTTCCATGAATTTCGAGAACTTCAAAAACTCTCTAAGCATCGATAACTCCAGAAAATTTTGAAGGACTGCGAAACATCCCGCCCAGGTTACATTTCAAGTTTTAAAACCTTAATAAAACCCAAATTGTTACTTGGGCGGCTGCTGAAAAAAAATCAGTAAATTTCCAGATGTCTTTGGTCTGAAATATTTCTGCATTCTCAAAACACCATAGACTATAGAAATCCAGGATAGTTCCAGGAACTTCTAGAACATCAAAAACACTTGAAACATCGATAACTTCAGAAGTTACGAAAAGCTCTTAAACTTTTAACAATAATTTTCAAGGACTCCGAAAAATCCGGGCAGCTGGAAACAAAATCCTTTAAGTATCGGAAGTGCCAAAATATTCTTGAACTCTTCGGATTCTAAAAACACCATAAGCTTTAGAAACACCCGAACAGTTCCAGGAACTTCCGGAGCTTTTCTAAATTTTAGAACATCAAAAACTCTTCAAAGTTCTATAAGTCTAGAAGTTACGAGAAGCTCTGAAACTATCAACTGGAACGTTCAAGGACTCCGAAAAATCCCGGCAACTAAAAAACAAAATCCATCATGTATCGGAAGTCCAAAAAATCCGAAAACTCTTCGGTCTAAAAGTTTCCTTGCATTCTGAAAACACTGTAAGCATTAGAAACACCTGGAGAGTTCCAGGAACTTCCGGAGCTTTTGGAACTTTTAGAACTTCAAAAACTCTTCAAACTTCGATAAGTCCAGAAGTTACGAAACGCTCTGAAACTTTTAGCTAGAATTTTCAATGACTCCAAGAAATCCCGGTGCGAATAGTCTGGTTTTATTTGGACCGCCATCCCAAGTAACATTGCAGGTTTTATCGAGGTTTTATAGCATTCTACAAGTCCAAATCATGATCTACAGAACCCTCATAAAACCAATATTGTTACTTGGGATATGTACATATCCCATGTAGACTGAAGACCATAATTTATACATGTAGAATGCTTTAAAACCATGATAAAACTTGCAATGTTGCTTGGGATGCGCTCAAATATCCTACAGCTTCAGTCCAGTCCCCAAAGATTTCGGGAAAGTTCACTTCAGTGAAGACTATTGAAGCTTCAGGGCAGATCCATTCATCTCCAACTTTTGAGCAAACCATGGGACAGTTCTGAAAACTTCAGGGCAGTTCCATGAATATCAGAAAAAAAAATGCGGAAACTTCAGAGATATTTTGAGAACGTTAGGTAAATTTCGAGAACGCTAATACCCCGGACAGACTAGGACTTATATCATGTAATATAGGCTGTCTTGCAATGAACACTCATACATCTAGTTTTCACTGGAAATCCAATGTATGAGTGCTAATTGCAAGACAGCCTATATTACATGATATAAGCCATAGTCTGTCCAGGGTATAAGACTTTCAGGAAAATAGCGATCAGCTCCAAATATTAAAGGATATTCCAAAGAACTTCAGAAAACTTTAACAAACTTAAGAATATTTCCGAAAAAAATCATTGAAATCCAAGAAATTCATGGAAGTCCACAGAACTTCAGGCAAATTCTATTAGAAAGAGCTTGAGGGAAGTTCCGTGAAAAACAGGGGAAAATTAGAGGTCCTTAGGGTAGTTCCATTAACTTCAGAAAACTTTTAAGAGTTTTAAAGAAGTTCTGAAATGCCAAGAATATTAGGGAAGTTTCAAAAACAAACTGTGGGAACGTAAATTAAGTTCCGAAATTTTTTGGAAAAAATTTTAAACTAAAAGGCGGTTCCATTAGCTTCAGGAAAACTGCAGGAACTTTAAAGAAGTTTTCAGAACTTCGGATATATCCACAGAATTTAAGGGAAGTCAAGAGAACTTCAGAGAAGTAGAGAAGACTTCAGGAAAATTTAGTAAACTTAAGGTACAAGAAATTTACCGAAGTCCAGAGAACCTCAGGCATGTTTAGAAATCTGTAGGGCAGGTCCATTATTACAAATCCTTAGAGTAGTTCGATTAACATCACGAAAATTGTAGGAACATTTAAGAAGTTCTGAGTAATGTATGGAAATGCCAGGAGTTTTAAGATAGTTTCATAAACAAACTGCAAAAACTTTTGAACAATTCTGGAACCTAAAAGCATCCGGAAAACTGCAGGAGCTTTAAAGAAGTTTTTAGAACTTCAGGCAAATCCACAGAATTTTGGGGAAGTCAAGAACTTCAGAGAAGTATAGAGGCCTTCATTACAATTTAGTAAACTTAAGATTCAAGAAATTCATGGAAGTCCAGAGAACTTCAACCAAGTTTAGAGATCTTTAGAGCAAGTTCCATTAATTTCAGGAAAATTGCAGCAACATGATCAGAAGCATAAGGGGCCTCCCTTGGCTCAGTCGGTAAAGGCGCAGCTGCAAAGCAAGACCATGCTGGAGGTGGCTGGGTTCGATTCCTAGTCCAGTCTAGGAATTTTTCGGGTTGGTAAATTTCTCGACTTCCCTGGGCATAGAAGTATGATTGGACTTGCCACACAATTATACCAATGCAAAAATGGTACAGGCATGGAATGTTCTCAATTAATAACAATGGAAGTGCATCTAGAACACTAAGTTGCGAGCACGCAATAAGCTAATATGCGATATGCAATAATCTTGAAATGCGAAGAAGAAGAAGAAGAAGATCAGAAGCATAGCGGAAGCTTCAGGGAAGTTCCGTCCATATGAGGGAAAGATTAAAGGTCCTTAGGGTAGTTCCATTAACTTCACAAAAATTGTAGGAACTTTAAAGAAGTTCCGAGGAATTAATGGAAATTCCAGGAATTTTAGGGAAGTTTGACGAACAAAAATTCGGGAAGTTCCGAAATCTTTTGGAACATGTTGGGAAATAATAGGCGGTTGCAGTAACTTCAAGAAAACTGCAGGAGCTTTGAATAAGTTTTAAGATCTTAAGAACAGAGATATTCACAGAATTTAAGGGAAGTCAAGAGAACTTCAGAAAAGTAGAGGGAACTTGGGTTAATTGTTCAATCTTGAAAGACGTTTCACGTAGTTCTGAGAACCTAGGTCTACAAATCTTAAGGGATTTTCCAATGATTTCAGGGAAGTACCCAATACTTTATGAAAGTACACATCAGTAAGGGTAGATTCCAAAAAAATCAAGACAGATTTATTAACTTCTGGAAAATTTTGAGAACCCTGAAGAAGGTCCGAGAATTTCTGGAATTTCCATAGAACTCAAGAGAACTTGATATAACATCAGTAATATAGAAGTCCAGGGACTTCAGGAAAGTTAAAAGGTTTTCAGGGCAGTTCCATTTATTTCAGGACCGTACGAAAAACTTCAGGGAAGACATCAGGACAGATCAGAGAACACAAGGGCAGTTCGATTAATTCCAAGAAAATTTCTGGAACTTTCAAGGAGTTTCAGAATTTTTGAAATTTTTTACAAAGTTTCGACGGCTTCAGGAAAATGCCGAAAACACTTGTGAAGTTAAAACAACATCAAGATAATTTGAAAACCCCTTTCCTTAAGGGAAATTCCATAATTTTCATGGCAGTCTCGCGAACTTGAAAAAAGATTCTGGATCTTCAGCAAAGATCAGAGAACTTCGGAGCCATAAATTTCAAGAAAATTGCGCGAACCTTTATGATGTTCTAAAATCTTCAGGATAGTTAAGAGAACTTCAAAGAATATAAGAGGTTTTAAGGTAAATTCGAGTACTTCGAGAATGCACAGAGCACTTCAGAGCAGGTTCCATTAACTTAAGAAAAAAGTTCGAATCAATGGACGCATTGCTTTAATTCCAATACAAAAAAAAGGGAAAACTTTAGAAAAATTGCACGAGGAGTTCCGAGGAAAAATTACATATTTCAAGAATTAAAAAATGAATGATGTATAGGCAAATTCAAATAAGTACCAAAAACTTCAGGGAACTCCAGAAAATCTATTGTAAAATACAAGATTTTAGGGAACGTTCCGCAAGGTTCAAAGAAGTTTTCAAAACTTTGGGAAAATTTCCCATAGTTGCGGAATCTTTTCAAAAATGCTGAGAAATTCAGGGAACCTTACAGAATTTTATGAAGTTCAGAGATCTTTTGGGCAGTTCAAATAACATCAGGAAAGCACGTTAAATATCAGGAAATTCTGACGAAGTTTTAAGATAACGAAGAATTAGTTTAGATAATTTAAGAGCAGTTCCATGAACTTCAGAAAAAATTCAAGAACTTCATTGAAAATCTAAGAACTACATTAATTATTTCGTTCTAATTTCAAGAAAATTGTGAGAACCTTCAGAAAGTTCCGGAAAGTTCAGGGAAGTCAAAATTACTCCAGGGTGGTTATGAAGTTTCAGGAAAACTCCGAGAACTTCACAGAAGTCCAGAAAACTTCAAGAAAACTCCGGGAACTTCAGGAAGAAGTTCAGAAAACTTTAAGGAATATCCGAGAACTTCAAGGAAACTCCGAGAACTTCAGAAGAAGTTTCTTGCACATTCGAAAAATGCGGGAGGGTATTAAATGAAGTGCCATATGGTTCAGGGCTGTTTCAAGAATTGGGGGAACCTCAGGGAAGATCATTGTAGTTCCATTAATTTTTTGGAAAATTACGGAAAATTTTAACAGGTGTCCAAATTCTCAAGCAATTTAAAGAACTTCAGAGATGTTTATAAAAGTTCAGAAGTATTTTGAGAACCTCACAGAAGTTCAGGAATTTTCAAGGCAGTTAAGGAATTCTTAGGATAGTTCTGTTAAATTCAGGACAGTACCAAGAGCTTTAGAAAATCGGAAGAATTTTAGAGCAGTTTCAAGTACTTCAGGGCAGATCAGAAAACTCTAAGGCAGTTCAATTAACTTCAGGGAAATTACATCCAGAAAAATATTCGGGGCCTTCAGAAAAGATCGATGATCAGCAGAGAAAATGAGGAAACTTTAGGGAAGTGCAGAGAAGTTTAAAGATATAAATATATTTAAGGAAAATTCCGTGCATATCAGAGTAGTTTTGAAAACTTCAAAAGAACATCAAGTTCAGTTTGATCAACTCCAGGAAAATAGTGGGATCGTTGAGAAGAAAATGTTTGGGAAGTTCAGAGAACTTCGAGGAAGTCCAGAGAAATTCACGAAAGTTTAGAGTTTTTTTTAAGGAAATTACGTGGATTTCAGAGTAGTTCCGAGTACTTAGTGAAAATTCCGGGATCTCCATGACTATACAACCCACCTGACGTATAGATGGTGGAAAGTCAGACCCCTGCTTTTGACCGAGCTAGGTCGATTTCTACCCATGTTCATGGATTACCGAGATAACGACATCAAAACAATGTTGACAGTAGTTCAGGGAGCTTATTTACAAGGAAGTAAAGTTCTTTTTTTGGCATCGCTATGAGTGTTAGTTCTCTAACAATGACCAGGATTTAAGTATTACAGCACCAAGTGCAAATTTTACAAGAGATCCAAAATCACTTAGATAATAAACTGAAAAACGGCAACGAAAAACGAAAAATTTCGTCCTTCCGTTTCAAATTCTAACATCTTGTAAACAGGCCCCTGAATTGTCAAAAAAGTGAGGTTAAATCATTTCGTGCAATGATCTATATCAATTGACTTTGTCGATATGACAGCTGTTATTGATTGCAACTATTTCCAGTATTGTGGAATTTGCAAGACATTCCAAAAACTGTCAGAACATTGTAAAGCATGCCAAATTCCAATCATTTAAAAAGGGTTAGAGGCACCAATCGGCCAACTGCCTGGTAGCGTTACACTTACACGTATCAATCAATCAAACCCCTCAGTACGGACGCCTACAGCTTCAGCCCGGTTCACACCACTCCAACATCGCACTGTCCTGGCCTGGTGCCAAGGCACGACATCGAAAATCTCTTAGATCCCTACAAATAACATCCCGCGCCGCGTACATTTTCCACCGTTCGGCCCATTTATCTTCCCCATGGAATGTGCCGTTTTTCTTTTTTTGCCCACCGCACTACAGTTACCGTCGTCGTCGTCGTCCGTGCGAGGAAAATCGTGCAAAACATTCACGTGTAGGAGTGGGATTGCTTCGAAACGAAGATCACGAAATATGCCGCAGCTCCCTGCTCGGATTCGACCAATTTATTTGACAGTTTGGCACGTGCATGTAATTAAATATGTTTTATTCAAAAAGAATAAGACGATTGAAGTAAATTAAGCGTAAAGTTGCTTTACAAAAAAAACACACATTCCAAGATAGCCACAGTTGACAGGAAGCTTGCAGTGATTGACTGCTCAAGTGCATTGTTTGCATCAGATCAAAGCAACCATACGGTTGCTGCACCGTGCAATGACCGATCACAGGTGTTACGACTCTACTCACTAGACTAGAGTGAAAACCCATTACCTCACGCGAGCGAACCTCGGACAACATAGTTGCAACCCGCACCACGTAGCGATCCGAACGAAACGCGTGACTTACATTGCGCAAAATTTTGACGGAAAACCACCGTCTAGTGCTCAATTTGTCTTATTTTTAGCGACGACGTTGCATCTGTGCGTCTTGCACTCCCTGATTGCAGCGGGAGTTCATTATTGTTGACATAGTAGGCTGCGCCTGCGCATCCTTCCATTTCGGACCATGGACTGTAGTTGGCGGAACCAAAGCACCTAACCTACTAGATGTAGCCATTGCCGGCTATTAAAAAAAAAACTTCAACCATGACTTTCTTCGATTTGGCTAACTCGTCTAATCTCCGTCGCCACTGTTATCTAACAGCTCTCGTCTAAATTCATCCATTCGGGTGCAATTGATTAGCTGCATCTCAGGCAATCGTCAGTACTTCCTTCGCGGTGCTCTCCAACGGTTGTGCAATGTAAAGCACGCACAAACTCGCCCAGTGTTCTCTGCCTGCCTGTTCTACACCTCTCACTCTCTCTCTCTCTTTAGTTGTGCATGTGAAAAATTCCAAGCCACTACAGACCGGACAAAAAGATTAGTTCTCTCCACTCTCCAGAAGAATAGTTTTTGCACCCCGAGAACGGAACTCGAAACTGAACGACCCCTCGGCTCCTGAAAACCGTTCCGATTGCGTGAAACCTGAACCTTTAACGCTGTGAATACGTAACCGATCACTGTCTGCTACTGCGAAATCGAAAAGAAAAATAGAAACTCGCCCAATCTAGGTCGAAATCCGAGTTCTCCTGCATCTCCTTACGATCTATTCTCCTTTCGTCCCATTTGCAGCTATCACATAGAAGAATCATAAGAATAAAAGTGCGTGAGTGAGTGAAAAATTTCGATAGTTTTTCAACAAATTCTAGAAGAGTAAATACTACCCATCAAAGCAAGAAAAAAAAAAACATCCAAGATGCCTTTCAAGCCAGCTGAGAACCCAAAGTGCCCCAAGTGCGGCAAGTCGGTGTACGCCGCCGAGGAGCGAGTCGCCGGTGGACACAAATGGCACAAGGGATGCTTCAAATGCGGTAAGTACAGCGTGATTTCAAAAGAGCAAATCGGCGGAAAAATAGGGTAGGATTACGCAATTTTCTTTCGTATGATTGGAAAAGTCGTTCAGTCGATCGTCGTGCCGCGGATTGCCCGGTTCGGCTCGGCCGAAACCGGATCGCGTGAACGCGCGTGCGAATCTTTGTTGACATGATGTTTTCCTCGATCACGGGGTGGTAAATATAGACCCGCGTGACGTAGATTGGGACGTGTTTACGTTTGCTGCGAAGGTACACGGGAGAAGGGTGGGAAGCGGCATTACGACGACAAGGGTTTATGTGTGTGCTCAAGTGATAAAATGGGGATAAGGAGGAATGACCTTCTGTGTGCTGTGGGAGTATCTTTGACACAAAATAAAGGCAAGCATCTTAAATCTCCAAGTAGAATCAGAACGTATTAAAACTTTATCTCTTACTTTAAAGTATTATTGTAACTGTTCCTATGAAAGTTTTCAAAACATTGTGTTTTGGTAGAAAAAGCATTTTAACCGATTTTGAGTGAATCAATTATTAGTAAATTCATTCACTCAAGTGAGCAGCGAAATAGCTAAAACAATAATTGAACAAGTGTAAATTTTACCAAGCAGATGATTGTACATACATATACTCAGAATTGACAGCAGGTGAATGAATTAGGCAAGAAACTGAAAGAATGTGAAAAATGTTCTCCTCGAGTGCAAACTCGAAAATGATAGCCTAATGTACTTAAAATTAGCGTCTAATTTAGATATAAAATCAGCGAGAAATGGTTTTTGCCTTAGATTCTTCGCAATTAGCCACGGTAAGCTTAGCTTAGAGGAACTTCAATTGCAACTGGCTCAATTTTATTTAATTGCTGCTTCATAATAAGGACATTCACCAGTTTCGATGGACCATTAACCTTGAAACCGAAGTTTATCAATCGATTCGCGAGCTTTGGACACAAGTTTCTTAGTTTGTTGGTTAACAGAATCACTTGTCGAGATGCTTGACGTTGCATTCTCCCAGTCGGAATCGAATTCGAACGATACCAGCTGATCTAGTCTAATCTAATCTAACACGCAGAGAAATGGTTTTTAAATTCAAATGGATATATTTTTGACTCAGGGCTTAATATATTTTTAATATTGTTTCAAATATATTATTCGGTTAATTCTAAGAAAAATATTTTTGAATCAACAAACCGGTTGTAGAGTCAATAATCTGTTTGTTGATTCTAAAAACCATTTTATTGATTCAAAAATATGTTTTGTTGAAATAGTGATACAATATGTTTGAATCAATAACAAAATACATTAGGCCCTGAAACAAAAATCAATTTTTCTGTGTGAATACAAACGCAGCCAGTACGAGAAAGCATCCTGGAAAATGATTAGGTTAGATGAGGTCTAATAGTTTTTCTTGTGTAATTGATGTTTACAGCATATCTGAGATATGATATAAACATCAATACGGCCAGGCCTACTGCGTTGTATTTGCCGCAAAGATGATTCTTGGAAATGAATGGGAACATTTATTTAATCTGTGGCAACAGTGGCGTAACAAGGCGAAATGGCGCCCATGGCAAGTACTGAGATCGCGCCCCCCCCCCATGAAAATGTACTGAATCATTGAAGTATCAACCGATTATCTTTAACCTATAAAAATAAGTATAACCACAAAATAAATCACATTGTATATTTTCAAGCATGTATATTAACAATCATGTACATTAGAAGAAACTGACGTCTGCGTCCGTTCTAAACGTGTATCTTCCTCGCCTTCGCTGCGGCAAAAGCATCGATAATGAAGTTAAAATCAATCTTCTCGACCTCTTCCCGTTCAACACTCAGCAAAGCAAGGTCGCTCAGCCGATCCTGTCCCATGGAGGCTCGAAGATAGTTTAAAATCAATTTTAATTTGCTGAAAGATCTTTCGCAGCTCGCAATCGAAACAGCAATCGTTAATAAGATCTGAATGGCGATTCGAAGATTCGGGAACACGCTCTCATCTCCGTATTGCACGATGAACAGCAGAACATCTTCAGGTCGTGTTAGTTTGACGTTCGTCCTCGTACTGATCATCATTCTGAAGTCCAAAATCTCCTCGTACAGCTGCTCACCATCAACATCACGGTTGTAAGTCTGGCCGAAGTTCTCGCACTTTGTCTTCAAGATGTCCCTGCTGATACCGGTACATAATCCCTCGACGTCGAGAAGAAAGCCAAACTTCGCATCAGTGTCGTGCAAACGAGTGAATCTGTCGTCCATCTCGGTGTGCAGGCGGTCGATCGTCTCCTTCATAGCTCGTTCGATTTCCTGCGTTGTTTTCAATCCAGCATCTTTAGATGTTTCGCCAGCCATTGTTTTCTTTCGTCTTGGTCGCCTTTCCGTCTCAACCTCCCACTCTTGACAGAGATTAAGCCCAACCTCCAGAGCTTTACTCACTAGTCTTTCCCTCTCGTTGTAGAAATGATCTCGTAGGCTTTCCAGGTCTAACGCGGCATCGTGGAAGTTCATCGCCGGATCTTGCAACCTTTTCTGGACTCGGTCGATCGGGAGAAGCACGTTGGTCCAAAATCCAAGTAGGGTCAAAAATTCAGGAGTCAACATCCGGTTGTAGAGCTGCCTCGCTTCGCTCCGTGTGTCTGTGGTCTCCGTGGCACCATCCATCATGGCTTGAAGGACTTGGAGTATCTCGTCGAGGTGGTTGTTGATGGGCTTTACCGCTTCCACCCTTGCGCTCCATCTGGTTGTTGACTCCGATTTCACAACTTTAGGAACAGCAATCTTGAGTTTTTCCCAGCGCTGAGTCGAGGAGGAAAAGAATACGTAGAGAGCTTGAATGGTCCCAAAAAAAGTCACCATCATAACGTCCTGTTTGGCTGCGTTGACACCAACCAAGTTGAGTGAGTTATTGTCGCAGTTCACGAAAACTGCCAGGTGATTCTTCTCGATGATCCTTTGTTGAACACCACTTTTGTGTCCCGCCATCACAGCAGCGTTGTCGTAGCACTGCGACCGGCAATCCTGGAGGTCCATACCGTCTTTCTCCAACTGGCTCAAAATGGTCCCAACTAAGCTCTCAGCGTCTTTCAGGTTGATCTGGATGAATCCTAGAAAAGATTCTGCAACACGTACCGTTTTCTTTGTAAAATCCACGTCCACATATCTAACTACTTCTGAAACTTGCTCACGGTGTGCTTGATCAGGGGTCGAATCAAACATGATACCAAAATATTTCGCTTGACGGATCGTTTCGAGCATATTTTCGCGAACAGTAGACGCCATCAAATGGATAAACTCGTTCTGTGTGGCTGCCGAGAGGTAAGAAGTCGATCCTGGACGATTTTTGGCATTTTTGAGGTGCGCTTGCATGACAGGGTCGAAGGCGGCGAGAAGTTTCAGGAGTCCAAGAAAATTCCCGACGTTAGAGGCGTCGTCCGACTGGAGGGATTCTCGGTGTCCTCGCAGAGCCAGGTTTTGCGTCGCAAGAAACTTGATGCAGTGAATAAGTCGTTCCAGGATGTCTCGCCATTTTGGTTTCTCCACATCAATCTCTGACTGCAGCTCCACATCGATCAATCCTTTGTTCTCGGCCAAAGTCCGTTCCATTTGTTTCCATTGAGTGAAGCATTCACGATGATTCTTCGACATTTCATGAACAGTCATGCGCTCAGGTGCTTTCCAATGATTGAATCCGCATTCCTGCTCCAAACTCGACTGAGGGTTTGATCGAGAAAAGAGCAAACAGCAGATGCAGAAAGCTGATTGCTATGCTGGAGAATAAACTAGCCAGGACCGAGTCACCTTCTCCCCGTTCGCCAGTGTCCTTTTGAACCAGGATTTGTTCATCGACCGGTTGTTTGTTGGTGCAAACGGCCCCTCGTCGTTCTGGAAATAGGTGGAACCCAACTGGACTATTTCCACTCTCAGAGAATCAGCAACCTTGACTTTTCCGGCAGCACCGTGGAATTCCAGAAGTCCAATGTCGTGCCTATTGATGACATTTGGAATGACGGGTCCCCTGGGATCTTGAGCAGCGTCGCCAGCATCTCCAACCGTGGAACTGGCAGTGTCCGGTTCAGCGTGATCTTCAGTGGTTTCGGTGGATCTGTCTGATGTTTGGTCTTCCGGCTCCATCTCTGATGCATTAGAGTTCAAAGCAGCCAAACTTGACGACGATGAAAGGGGATCTGTAGGAGCGGGCTTTCCGAAAAAAATCTTCAGAAGCTGACTTGACTTTTTGGCTTCCTCTGTCTCCAACTTGCGCCTTTTCCGCCCCTCCGCACCAGACTCCTTTTTCTTTACAAGCGTACGTTTCATCGCCGTTTTCTATATGCTCTATAATATGCATATGTTTTTGATTAGACGAATAATTTTCAAACCTGACATTCACGAACTACGACCCTTATTATTCTTACCTCACATTTAACTAAGTTTTAGGTTGACTAAGAGTTATTGGCGTTCTTGTCGAGTGCAGATGACAATCTGAAGCAAAAGTAACAGCGTTAGTGATACAACGAGGATATTACGGAAGTAGAATTTTTATTAAGGACTGTTGGACGTTACTGTACACAACGTTTTAAAACGTTAGATAAGATAAGTTTAAAAACGTTTTCAAAACGTTCAAACCGTTTAAATACAATGTGAACAAATCAAAATGTTTGATTTCCAAGTTCATAAAACTTTTTCAACACGTTTATGTAAAACATTCTCATATCGTTATTGACTATCGTTCGACTACATTTTAAACGTAGTTGAAACGATTTAATAACGTCAGTGAGACATTCTTCTCACATATATGGTATTTCATTATCACGATAATACCCAAACATAAATACTTACTTGCAGACATTAATTAACAAACATACTTCATGATCAATTGCTTACCTCGGAGCTGAAAAGCACGACGACGAAAATATGCATTGGTAATGCTTCTGAACAATCTGGGCGCAAAAGTAAACAGAGTTTCTCTGCTGTTTTTATTGAAGCGACATCTACATGAGAGGTCGGTATGGT